ACTTGTTGGATACGTTGTGGACAGTAGGTAGACTTTTTCATAATTATAATGTATATAAAACATATATAAAAAACCTTCAGTTTTTTTACTTTGGCCTTCTGCGTTTTACTTTCTTCATATCAAATATTGTATTCTAGATTCAAATTTCAATATATCTTCCACAGTCACCCTTTAATTGTAAATTTCTTTAAATTTTAACTAATTTGTTAACCTTTTTTCAATTTTGTGAATAGTGAGGGTGGCATGATTCCTTAATTCCACACAAGCTAACTTGCTCCTGGAGATCAGATTTGATTTGTAAGGGCTTATCCCACACTCACTATTCCCAATACCAGTTTTTTGTCACTTTGTTTGTTTCTTGTAATTTTTAATTTGTTCAAACAATTGTATATATACTATTTTAACTTTTGACTTAAAAGTCTAATTCAGATTTTATAATATTTTTTTTAAAATCTTTTTAAATTGTAAATTTACATCCACAATTTTTGTAGATGAGCACTGATGATGGCAAATAAGCCGAAAGCACTTTGCATTGATTAATAAAAAAGTTTTGCACGAAATACAAGTTTTTCCTTTTGAATTAGAAATAATTTTAAATTAATTCAAGTATGCGAACGGCAGCAACCTGGATTTGATGAGCTGTGGGTCATAGATAGTTTGACCATTTAGGCATACTTACCTTGTAATAATTGAAATTGTGAGTCAGAAAGATTGAAGACCGTCATTAAAGATAAGTCCGAATGTCTTAGAAGGAGATGCTTAAGTAAGTCATGCTTGAACATACAAGAAGATAATATAAATAACTAAGAAAATATGAGCCTTTATAAAAAAAACTTTTTTAGAGTTTAATTCTACTTATGACTTACAAATAAATTACTTTTGAAGGAATTTCCATAGCCGCAAAAATTATTATATGATCAAGTGTGGGTAGATACTGATTTTCCAGATCATATTCTGAGAAATTAGTCAACAATATTAAAATAAATTATGAATAAATAAAAATTGTTCGTCCAAATATATTGATTGAATATAAATAACTGAAGCGCATCAAATAAACAAAAAAAAAAAGTGTAGGAGCTGATGACAGCCTTGATAAATTGCAAGGTTAAAATTATAGAAAGAGAATAACGAATTGTTAATACCAATGTACATCAATTGTATACAGAACGTCCCTTAAGGATAACCGATTATTTAATGGTGAAAAATTAATGAGAGTATGCTTTATTAACTGCGGTCCTATGTATTTTCTAAAATTTTAATCTTAAAAGCAATCAAAACGAATTCAATTCGGTTTTAAAGTGTTTCTATTACATATTTATAACCTTTTCTGTTACCATATTTCATTATTTTTATTCGTGGAAACTTACGTAATATGTAAAAATGCATGAAGGAATATTGGAAACCCACTTTTCCATAAATTATGGAAATTTTATTTGCATCATTCAGAATTAAAATAATTTTGTTAAATTGCAGGGCGATTTGCAGGTAAATGTGGAATAATAGAAAATACGTTTAATTAAAACGTATCTGTATTTTTTTGTGGCAAGCCTTTCTAAGAAATAAGCATAGAGTCATAGAACGTTAAAACAAACAATCAGTGGTCAGTTGTGTATAAAATACTGTATTAGTATAAATTCTATCATTGCAACAGTTTTAAGAAAAAAAAAAAATCTTTTTAAATATTGAATTCACCTCTAATTTTTAATTAGAAAACTAATTTTAAATATTTAACTCATTCCAGTTGTCTCCTCGATATTTCAGTATTTTTCTTTTTAATAATATTTTTTTTTATGAAAGTATTGCAAACACTAGATGGCAACATACCAAAAATGTACTGCTAATGTCGAACTGTCATGGTACATCTACTGGATTTACTAGGAGAAGACTCCGAACTGGTGAACACGCTGAGATTGAATGTCCCGAAGCTATTATCTTCTATAATAAATTTATAGGGGGAGTGGACTTGTTGGATTAAGAAGTATATACCTACGACTATATGACAGCAAATCTACCAAATGATGGTAATTTTTTTTTAGAAATTATTAATATCTGCTGTTGTGAATTTATGGATGATACACATCAATATAAATAAGAAAAAAAAAACAGTTTATTTAGTTTTTTGTTTCCACGCTTCAGTGGTCTTTCTAAAAGAACTTATAAACGTCAGAAAAGAATGGTAAATGTCAACCATTCTTTAATTTTATCAACAGTCCCAGAATTCGTTGGACTTTTGTTTAATACTTCAGAATGGTAAGGTGCATTGTCTAAAATAATTATGCTGGACTTACTTAAACCTGGGAGAAGTTTTTCATGCAACCATTTTACAAACATTTCTGTGTTCATATTATCGTGATTTCCCTCCTGCATGTAAAATTATGTGTCGCTTCCCTTCTCCATCGGTATGTTTGATGGACTTTACGTTATCATCTTGCCATATTCTCTTGGTTGCACACCTAGAAAATATCGATGTTTTGTCTAAATATATAAAATTCGTTCATTCTTCTTTAAATTTAGAATATTTTCTTAGGAAGGCAATTCTCTTGTGCACGACAGAACTTCTCTTACAGGGCCTTTCTGTTATCCTCCTTTTGAAATTTGAAACCCAAGTTATGTATTACTTGCCATAGACTTGTTCTGTCAATGTCGTCAAATTTTCTATATATTAATTCCGAGAGAATTGTATTTAGGGTCACATGTTCCTTGTTGACCCTCATTCGATGAATGGTATCGCGAATTTCAAATTTCTTTCCATCTGGAATATCTTTCGTTTTCAATGATGGGCGAGTTTTGCGGTGATCTTCTTTCGGCAGTTCACTATTTTGATTTTGTAATGCTCCTCTTAATTTGGTTTCACGAATTCCTAAAGTATCGCATACGCGTTGTTGTACAGACATTACCGATTTTAAAATACTTATGTACACTACAAATTAGACTATCTACATCTAACACATGTCTAGGAATTTTTAAAATTTCCACTAAATTTACAATATACATTCAATATCAACACTTGCAAAGAATCAATTCAACTGCAATATTTGTAACAAATTTAGTACCTACCCTAATGTTATTTTAATTTTAATCTGACTATTAGGGCAATTTTACCTAATTTCTTGGGAAGAGGCTTATTGGAACTGGTTGTCAATTACTAATTTGCATAATTTTATTAATTCGAAACCCGCGTAAGTATAGCGAACAGACTGTAGAATAAATAATGAATAGGAAACAGTAGGGCATCCAAATGGTGACACAATAAGCCATCTGCCCTTCAGTACCACCATACCAATCCCCAAGAGGAAGGAAAGTAGACTGGACCCCAAGCATAATTGAGGAGAGCCAGTGGCTGGACCCAATCCTTCGACATGAAAGGGCGAAAAAAATGGGACACAGTTGTCCAATGTCGTTCCAAAGGATACGAAAAAAAAAATTACATTATTTTTGTTGTCTCTAGAAGCCTGTTAATCGTATTTTCATGTTTAAAACCCTTTGGATAGCAGCAGAACGATTTCCGGCCTGAAAGTGTTATTAAAAAAATAATAATTAATTCTTGCGATTTTGTTATTTGATTTTATTATGAATTTTTTATGATTTTATGATTTTGTTTTAATTTTGTTATAATTTTGGTATAACTTTGGTATAATTTTGTTGTTTTTACTGTGATTTTTATATGATGTTGTTATGATTTCAATACTTTGTTTCATTTTATTATTTTTATATTATTTATTATGTTTACCTTACCTATTTCCATTGTTTTTTATTTAATTTTTATCAATAAAAATACTATAGTTGATTTAATGTAATTTTTTATAATATACTGCAAATAATTTTCAGATTTTTTAAGGTTTATAAGACAAAAATTTGGTAGCATCGTTTAGTAAGTATTACCCTGTAGGAAAACCTAAGGTTTCTCTGCTAGAAAACATTCTATATACAATCCAATGGTTTGGAATTCGTCAAGCGATTTTTCTAAGATAAAATCAGAAGCATACACCACCCAACGTACATACATAATAGCAAGCAGTTTCTGATTCGAACACCCTATGATTTTTTTTATTACTTTCTTTCATTCTAGGAATAAACCATATCTTTAATTTGGAATTTACCACAAATTAACATGGATGCCGATCGGAGAATACAAACAAAAATGGAATAAATATAAATTAAATCTTTTCCGATACTACAAGCATGTATAAGGTAAAGAAAAGTTTAGCGCATGAAATTTTTGGCAAAAATTGCCTCCTTATTGCAAACTATTCAAGTAAGTATCCTTTAAACTGCTTAGAATTATTTTTAGATATCATTACAGTGACTTTTTTTGACGTTTGTCTAATTGGATAAAATGTCTGCCAAAACTTTCGTTACATAGGTTAAGCTATATTCTAAGAGGTTATATATTTTTTAATGTAAAACTGATGTAATAATAAGTTAAATTATCTAAACAGAATGCAATAACAGAATAGCATAAAAATGTGTAAAAATCCTATTAAAATAACAATAGCCAAGACATTCCTAAAAAGAAAACCTAAATTCAAAAGTGTAGTACTTTCAATTTAGGATTGGAAAACAATTTCATTAAAAGAAATAGTTTTTTTTGGAAAAATTCTTAATTTTAACCCACACAACTCAAAAACAGAATATGCTTTACTCAAAATCATCACAAAATCTATAAGAGTTTGCTAAAAATTGAATTCCTACAAATTATTATAATACCAACATATTCAAAACCACGGTTTTTTTGTAACCACACAAGAAAATTATGTGAAAAAATAAATACTAGTTGAAACAATCATATGGAAATTTAGATATATTTTTTTTTAATTTCCATACAATTGCCTACGGTGGTACAAAAATAATTTGTAATTCAAAACCAAAATATTTAAATGATTTAACTAAATTGGAGCACATTGACTTTTTTTAGTACACAAGTAAATATATACAGTTTAAAATCATAATATACGTATTATTGTTGTTATGTGTTTACTTTTCATTGTTTTTTATCTTACCATTTTTTGGTCCGTATCCCCAATCGAGTGTCATTCTGAAAAAAATAAATTTGATTATTTCAATATCCAAATAAAAGTAGAGGAAATCAGAAAAATGCCTTTATAAGAGTTCCTTTACAATATATGAAAAAAAATATACATAAATTATTTATATTTAAAATATATTTATGTGTTTTTAATATTGAAAAATGGGGGATAGAATATATTTGACCGAGAAGGCATTATATCGAAAAAATAACATCTTATACATTTTTATGGCTTAATATTTTTAATTGAATTGGTTTTAGATTATACTTACAATTTATTTCAATTTACTAAGTTTTATGGTTTCTTTAAGAGTACTTAAATACAAATACAGGCATTAATTAAAAAGTAGATGAACAAGGAATTGTACTTAAAGTGTGCAGAATTAGATTATATTAATATAATCCTGTCATTTATTAATATCAGTTATTCCCAAACAGTTGCAACCATTGTAGATGGTTGTAAAATGTAGATTTCTTTATATTGGGTGTCAGTTGTGGTTGTAGTGTATCTGTATTTAAGTTATAATAGTTTTTTCGTATATATTTTAAGTGTGCCAATGTTATATATGTAATGTCATTCTGTTATTGTCATATTAAATACAAATCTTACGAATTGAATATTATTTAGTTGGGTTAACACCACATTTTGATTCGGGAGATTGACGTAAATGAATGGCCAGTGCACTGGAAACGTTTGTCTCAATTTTTGTTTCTTAAATGGTCCGTATTCGAAAATTTTGACAAAAAAGTGTAAAATTCAAATTTTTAAAAAAATTGTTCAAATAAAAATTGTTTGCAATATCATTCTTAATAAATTTTTTATTCCATACAATGATTTCTCTAAAATGGACCGTAATGTAAAATTCTAAGTTTTCAGCATTTTTGTTAGCAATGAATATATATAAAAAAATATAATTCGATTAAGACGTGTGGTAAGAAATGGTATCCGTTTAAGCAGACTGATATCGCCTACTTATTCCGCAGTTTGTGCATACATGTGGGTGCAGACAAAAACAATAACAATATTACAAGTATTAATTGTTACCTAAATATTTTGCGCCAATTAATCACAATAATTTAATCTCAAGACGATAAATAATCGTTTATTAAAATATAACTTTGTAAACAAAAAGTATGATAAACCTAAAATTATTGAATCATTTTGGGATTCTTAAAAAAATTACCCTTGAAAAGTATTTATTGGATTTTGTGATAGATGCTGAGTATATTTTTTCTGTATTATAGACATAAAACAAGCCCTAAAATTAGAGCTTCCCTGCACTGTGTATATTACTGTACATAAAACCAACGGATCTGCGCAGTTTGATCATATTAAAAAGATATTTTTGGAAGCACATTATCAACTCAAATAGTGACCAACAGGGGACGGAAACTAAGCACACGAAAGGTATAATTGAACACTGTTCAAAGAAAATTGGGATGGAAGATGTGTTGAAGAAATTGTATTAAAAAGAAATACTACAAAACCAAACATTGTAAAAGTAGAAGATAAAAACATAAATGCAGGAGAGGAAGAGGTCAATGCAGAGGTATAGGAAGACTACACTATGTTTTGTCCTATTCTTTAACCCATCTATTTTATGATGCAGACAAGACGCATTGTTTAGGCAATATACATTACAATATATCTATGGATGCTCTAAATGTCTATATCAAAAGGTTTAAACTATTTAAAATCATTTTTTTTGTCTGTCTCCCCCTGTATATATAATATAGCTGAAATAGACCAAGGAGATAGAACAATTAAACACTTTTGAATAGATGGTTTTAATGTATTCTAGGTATCGTTCACGAGGAAGTTAAAAATTGTACATGCATTTTTTTAATTATTATGCAAATTTAAACGTTATGCAAGTTTTATCTTTGTTTTAAAAACACAATGATTAGGTATTCAGTTACATTTAAGTCAATAAAAAAGACATGACAGATAATAATTTTTAATAACATTATTGCAATTTGTAAGGTACAGTGTCACGTTAACTTTTCTAAATTATATAAAAAAATACCGGTTTATTGTAAGATGGTATTAAAAACGATACCAGAGGGTGCTGTAGTACAGATTCAATCTGTACCAGTGTGATGTTTACAAAATTGTTGAAAATATTTACATCAGAGCACAAAAATTATAATAACTATATTAACCATTAACAAGAACTACGTCAATATTTAAGACAATTTTTCTACACCGTCATTCTAACCAATACATTTAAAATAGCAAAATTAAAAAGGATATTTCAAAAATATGACTATTCATTGCATTTCCTTTAAAAATATTTATTATGCCTGTATCTACATGTACAAATATTTAGAACGTCTACCTTCTAAGCTTGCCAATGTAAAAATATTTTAACCATTTATCTTTTAAGCCTGTCCATATTAAAATATTTGGAATCTTTACCCCTTAAGTCTGCCTAAGTAAAAATATTTAGCACTTTTACTTCGTACTCTGCTCATGTATAAATATTTTACCATTTTACCATTTACACACGTAAAAATGTTTGACTGTTTACCCTTTAATCCATACATTTTAATTACATATGAGCTCTATTCTAGAATTCGTAAAAACTCGTGCAAAAATCATCATTACTAAGTGTTATTTGTAAGTTCTACATTTATTTTAACTTAAAACATTTATTTTTATATACAATAAATAAAACATTCAAATAAAAAACCTTTAAAAGGCGTTTAAAGAATGACACTATGTCTATCTAGAGAAATCGTAAAATTAGTAGCTGTGTTGCAGTGTTTAAAATAAAATTTTACAGTTTAAACATTTTTTCAGAATTAGTAAGTTTCAACCCCTTATAGATCCAAATTTTTTGGTAAGTGACAATTATTTCAAATTATCGCTGAACTTGGGATATTACTACTGAAATTTTCAAGTAGACACCGTTTTTCGTTTTTGGTTTATGATTTTTTAAATTTTAACAAAACCATGGATAGATTTTCAAAAAATTTGCAAATCTGCAAATAATATTGAACATATTACAATATATTACTTAGGTTGCAAATTTAAACCTAAAAACTTTTGTAATTGTGATTAAATTTTCAAAATAGGAGATCTTATTGACTGGCCTATTGGAGACAACTGCTTACTACTAAAATGAGGCGAATGACCACGGTCTTTTATTTGACCCGAACTAAAGATTTACATATTTACAATAAGAACTATTGAATCATGACTAAAATTATACATTTTTTGACCCACGTAAAATTCATTTATTTTAATTTAAAGTAATAAAGACACAATAATAATAAATATCTACAAATGTATGCTAAAATTAAATCATTATCAGTAAAAATAAATGTAATAATTACTCAAAGAAGACTTTATCCAAAACGCACTACGAATCATAATACTTTATCGTATTTTATTGATAACAAATACCGAAATATATGATTTATTTATTGTTTGTTTATAAATTATATAATTAATGTATGATTTTCGTTTTATTTTTTAAAATGGATGGGTTAAATGTAATTTAGAATAACAAATTCAAATGCTTGGTAATAATTTGATTTTTGTATCATAATAAATCATTTTAAAATTAAAAACTTTCTTAATTATTATCTATCAAATGTAATACATAAAATTCTCAGTAAAAATGAATAAAAACTAACTAAAAATAGTTATAGACTGATAAAAATAAAAAAAATACTTCAAATATTGCATTTTTAGCTTCTGACAGAAAGATATTATACTGGAATTTGAATTTTTTATAGCAAAATTGTTGAGGGTTAAAATAAATATAATTCTTTTCAATTAACAAATGTTTTAGTTTAGTCAGAAATTGATTTAACCCTTCTGATAAATGATTTAATCAAAATAATATTGCTAATAATAAATAGGGTAGATATATAGATGTTCAAATTAAAAAAAAAAACCGTTAAATTAAGATTACAACTAATTTAAATTGAATCTCTCCATGTTAAACGGGCGTAAGTTCATTTTTAACTATTTGAGAAAACAAAAAACATCTGTTTTTGAATGAAGAGCTAGTCCAATAATAAAGCAAGTTAGCATTAATATTTTGGAATCTTTTTATTCAAAAAAAATGTTTAGTTTCTTCAAATTGTTAATAGATGGACTTAGGCCTGTATAATATGGGGTAATTCAATTATAAATCTTAAGCAAATTATTTATTTACAATTAAAAATGTTTTATTAATGAAAGTAAGACTTACCTTCAACTTTCAAAGACCCAATTACGATTACACTAAAGGTTACCACAACAACAACAACAACAAAACAGGTGAGCAACACGATCACTTAAAAGCTCCAATGTCTGACCGGCTTAAGATGAGTATAAATATCATCGAACTCTAAAGTGTGTTGTTACCGAACTGACCAATTTATTCTCCCCACTTTCGTTTTGCTGGTTTACGCGCCTCCAATTCCACGCGAAATATAGAGATATACCTAACCATGTTACAAATTTTAATTCCATACGATATATGTCGATAGACTTACAGCCGCCATGAGATAAGTTGAAGGAATGCTTGTTGGATGGAGAACGATCAGTGTCGTAGGTACATGGAGCTATATTTTCTAAGTCTTTTACTTATAGAATTAGTATTCAAATTCAATTTCTTTTTATCAGTTATGCGGTACTGCCACAATAAATGTAACAGATTTTTTACTCAAACTTCTTCTATTTTGCAATAGAAAATAATAACAATTATTATAAAAATAATGACAATTGTTAAAATCCTAATAATCAATCTATCTGACGGTATATAGAGTGGAAAATATATTATCGATAAGATAACTACTAAGAGAGAGTTCCTTGTCAACCAGACACTGGATAAAACAATTCTGTCTACCACCATTCAGATCTTGTAACGTACTCTGGTAATATCAACAGAGTGCGATGATGAACTGACGTTGCAGTAGCTAAAAATGAAGATCCTAGCCTCAAAGATATAAAAAGAATCAACACTTGCTTTTGTAATGATAGACAAATTCACCAAACCCTCTCTATAAATCTTAGAGGAAGCGCAAGTTGACCTTACCGAAAAGGAGGTTATGCTGAGGCTGCTTAAGGGTCAAAATCCAAGAAGGACCCTAAGTGCCATCTCTTCATTTTAGGAAACGAATACATGGGAATTTTAAAGGTCAAATCGATGAGATTTAGCTATGTGTTGACTTCAAAGATCGAAAAGAGGTTGAAGCGAGACCTAGAGAAGAATTCTCTGCCATGGACTCTCTTTCCCCACAAAAAAGCTAACGGTGGAGGCCATCGAACCTGATAAAACGGTAGATAACCTCTAAAAAGTTAATTGCAATGACCCAAACAAGATCCCCCTTTCCTTTTTCGGAGGAAGCGATGGTCGAATAGAAATTGTAACTTTATTAGAGGATCGTTAAACTATTAATGAGGTTATGTTAGGTTTTTAAACACACTGATTTTAAATAGTGGATGATTCTGTTTTTGCAATAACAACTTGCAATAATTGACTATTGACCAGCTTTAGACAAAATTTCTCCACCGTTTTGACTGACGCTTTTGACGTATCCAACCACTCACTTAACATACCTTATGTCGCAGAAGGCTGATGCAGCTATATCTATGTTAATGCCGTTTTAAACTTTCTACGAAATCCAAACTGATTTAGTGTTAGAATATTGAATTTATTTAAATACTTTCAAGCGGGATTTAACAAGTTCTTCGACTAATATACTCAGGGTTAATCACCAACTTTTTGGATTATACCTAAATCCATTAATAAGAAGTCTTAGTAACAGACAAAGTAGTGTCCGCTAATTTTTGTTTTAATTATAGACAGTAATTTAATGCTAAGAAAATATCTTGTTCAGTAACCTCCAAAAGTGTGTCCAAATTTTGACAAAATGACATATGACAGCCAGTGGCGTACCCAGATATAGATATTGGGGGATAACAAAATTGAACATGGAACAAATTTTTATTATAAATTTGAATATTCTATTTTATATAACAAAATCTAGTCCCCCTAGTCCAGGAGCTGAACCATAGTACCGTTTGTAAGTACTGTGAAAACTCCTCACAAAAATTTTGAGATAATGATGTATTTGATTTAGTAATTGTTATAAAGCAATTTAGAGGTCTTTTATTCTTATTTTTTCTTATGATTACTTATCACTTTGATGATGTGTTTGAGATTGCGGATGTGCTGGGACTTCCTGGGTGGGATATATCCCCATTATTCCCCCACCCCGTTGGCACGCCACTGTTGACAGCAAGCTTCACACTTTAAATTACTATCCATTAGAGTCTGTTTTTATGTATGAAACAGCATTTCTAATGCAAAACTTAGTACGGTCATTTTAAATATTTTTACAGAATAATTTAAATATTTCCTAAAATTGTAATAAATGTACCTGAGCTATTACAAGTTTTGGGTCTTTTATTGGTCCTTTATAAACATAAGCTGTACAGAATAATAGAAAAAGGTTTGGACAGGCCAAAAGACCTGTGAATTAAAGATTACATAGCCGTATCTTAAGATTATTTTCAATAAGTACCTATTTGCCAATTTTGTTTTATTTTAATTTCAAGAATTTCTTACAGTAATCGAATTATAAGTAGATAAATACCTTCCCAACAAATTTCACCGAAAATGCGATTATAGGTTTTCCATTTAGTAAGGAGGTCCAAGTTGTGTATTCTTGACAGTTTACTACATGTCATTTTGTTGCAACTTGCAAGGTGCAGTGTGAATTCTAGTGTGATCATGGAAAATTTGGAAGGGCCGCGTAAACGACAAAAAATCGGTCCTTTAACAGTTAATGAAAAAACATTAATATTTAATTTACATAAACCAAATAAATTTTGGCAAGATGAAACTGTTACAAGTCGAAGACAGGCTTTTTTAAATAATTTATCTACTGGTTTAAATCCACCATCAGGAAAGGGGCGCAGACTAACAATAGTACACATCGGTAGTTCAAACGGTTTTGTTAAAGGTGGTTTATTGACTTTTGAATCTACTCGTACCGGTGACTACCATGAGGACATGAATGCTGATGTCTTTAAAGAGTGGTTCGAACAAATTATAGATCTTCTTCCTCAGAACTGTATAATAGTAATGGATAATGCAAGTTATCACTCGAGACTTATAGAAAAAATGCCCACAACTAAGTGGTTAAAAAAAGATTTACAGAATTGGCTAAATTCAAAGAATATTAAGTTCGATCCTGGTTCTATGAGAAAAGAACTGTATCATTTGTGTTTCAGAAGTTTCAAGAAAAAATAATTCTTTTAAAATGAGTGATATTAAACAGTTGTTTTTGGAGGCTGTAAATAATGTGAAGCCTAAAAATTGGGAAAAGGCAGTAAATCATACGATTAAAGAAGAAGAGAAAATGTGGAAGTTGGACAATATTTCTGATGAAATGATCGAGCCACTCATTGTAAATATTGGTTGCGACAGTTCATCTTCTGATTTCGATTCTGATTTGGATTTGTAGGTAAGAAGTAGATTTTATATTAAAATTATTATTTATGAACGTAACGTTGTTTAAAAGTCAAAGTTTAAACCCTTATACCTACATAACCCGTTTGACACAATGTTCTTAACATACCTTGTGGAAAAATAAAACATTTTAGAAAAAATTGCACTTTTTTACCTTCAGCTGTTTAGAAGTTATAAGTAGGTTAATTAGGTGAAAATATAAGTGTATACTCGAGGAATAACTTCAAAAAATATTTTAACTGTCTACTAAAAGAAGTGATACGCCTATGGATTACGAACGCTTTATTATTTTAATACTCTCTCATACATAAAAATAGACTATAGTTGAGTATTTAACTGTAGTTCCTCTATACACCAGAATCTCCACATTCACGAGGTATGCGATAACTATGAGCAGCATTGTATAAAATTCTTTGTGTAAAACAAAATTGTTAGAAACAATAACATATCTATTGTTTTAACCGATAGAAATTGTTAATTACTAATATTCAGTGCAATTTTTTTACATAACTGCATCATCAGTTTTATATGGTTAATTTAGGACAGATGTACTTTTTTAATTGGTTTAATTTCACTTAAATTATTGCACCAAAATTTAGTTTTGCCGATATCAATGGCGTACATAAAAAGATTTTAAATTATAAACAATTAATATAAAAAAAAGAGACTCGCCTTGCATCATCAGGTATGTTTATCCTTGTCATGCATATGCTAGAACTGTTATAAAGTTGCCCTACTTTTTTTTTAACTGTGAGTTGAAATAATATTTTACTATCGTTTGATTTACCATTGTGGAAGGTCAAAATAAAATATAAAATAAAAAAGTACTTACAATTTTAGAACATGTTTCACAAAACACCTGGTTATCACCTTCTACAACAAAATTTGAATAAGATTTTACCCACGACTCAATTAATTTTGCCATTTTTTCCACTGGTTAATACAACACAACAATAAATACTGAAATGAAGTTGAAAGTAAACTGAGTCATTTAGAAATTTGAAGATATTAATACAACTATCTGAAAGGATATTTAGCAAAATTTGTTGGTTTAAGGAGGATGTTTATAATTTAATCCTCTCAAGTACCTACACCATTACCCGTAATTTATTACAGGGAAAAGTTAATCCTTCAAAATTTTAGAAAATCGATCTGTAAAGGCATTTTACAAAATATTATTTTGGTCCAAAACTCATAACTTTAATATGTCCAACTAATTAGTACGTCAGATATATGCCAAAAAATTAACAAAATGTCAATATATGCATTCAAAATCAAAAATTGTATATATATATACAACATATGCAAAATATGGCGTTTTGCATATATTCCTAGCTCTAATCATTAGATTCATAGCTTATATTCATTTCTCCTTTCAAATTTCTAATATTCTCATTTATTTCATCTTTCGTTTGACTCATTTTCTCATTAATTTCTCCTTTAATTTGACTTATATTCTTACTCATTCCAATGAGCACTTGCTTATTTCTTGCTTTTGTATCTCCATATCTCCTTGTTCTATGATTTCCTCATGTCCTCCCAGCAACTTAACTATCTTTCTTACTCTTAAAATCATTTACTTTCTGTTATTATTATTACTAGTTCCATTACAAATTCTCATACATATAAAACTTACAATATGTTACTGTCATCAAAACAAAAAAATCTCACTTACTGTTGTTACTCTATCTCTATTCTATTAATTATGAAAATTTACCCAGAATACTTAACAAACACACACTTTACACTGTTACTGATCTAATGGTCCAATACAGCACATCCTAACTCAAAATAACAGTTCAAATTTTTAAATTTTTCCATGATTTCCATATGGAAACCTTCTTGGTTGTCTCAATGTCGGGGTTGGTTCAAAAGATCTAAAATATTGGATAAATTATTTACAAATATTAAATTTTTTCTGGTTTTTTTTTCCTCTTCTACTTGTTCACTGTTTACCTCTATCGTCTTTACCTATCTGCTAGTCCCTTTCATATCTAATTGAATCTGCTTTGACCTTT